GTTCTTCTCTGGGCAAAGTCGGAATTGACTAAACGGCAGCAGGTTTTTCTTGGTGTGCCCAAAGCACACGGGGTTAAGGGTTCGATGTAAGAAGCTAACATTAACTGCCGAGGAAACGGCTTAAATTATGCTTCTCGCCTGGTGGTACCACTGCTGGGAGGGGCAGAAGGATCCGAATATAAAAGCCCTTTGTCCCCATGACCTGAATTTTTCAGGGGAAGCAGGGAGAGGCACATTGAGGCATTGTAGAAGGTCCTGAACTCGAAAGGGTGTGAAGGGCTCTGATGTGTGTGGGTGTGCACAAGAATTGGGATATTCACGAAGACGGGGGTGGGGGGGTGGAGAGAGTGGTTGCCAAGGGAAATCAGACAGCTGTGGGACAGACATTCCTCAGAGGGCCCAACATGATGAGCCCTAGCAAGGGACTGTCTGAAGTTTTGTAGTACCAGGACCCAGAAGAACCCACTTAAGAGGGACGGATGGAGGTAGAGATGGATGGATGACTAGACAGGAGGAGGGACAGATGGACATGGAGGAATGGATGCTAGATGGGTGGGTAGGGTGATGGATGTCTTACGGATGAATAAAGTAGAAAAGGCTGGACAAGCAGGATGGGTAGGAAGATGGAAGAGAGGCGGCTGGGATGAATGGACACATGGATGGGCACAAACTGGGCAAACTGCTAAGGGAAAGAACTCCTAGGGGGTGACTTGGAACAAGACTTAACTTGGGGTTCCTAGATGGGCAGCAAGGGCTTTATAAAAAACACAAAAAACCAAACCCATTGCCATCATGTCGATTCCAACTCAGTGACCCTGTGACTAGGGAGTTTATAAGCCCCCTGAGATCATACACCAAATTGTAGTATCTTTAGTTTCCAGTAATTCTCAAGGGGGTTTGAGATTCCCCAAATTTCCAGAGCCACCGTCTCGTGCCATGTCCGACTTTCCCATCCATGGTGAAGTTTTCCAGCATCCCACACTGCCTCCAGAATGGTAAAAGACATATAATTCATCTTAATTAACAAAATATTAACAACATCCCCCTCCCCACCCCGGTTGAGAGTCTCGGTAAGTTAACAAGGACCATTTGCCAACACAGGTCCCAGAGTTGGAAAGCCGCAGCAAGTTTTAGGCCTGCGTTGTCTGAATTTCTGAGTGGCGTTCTGGGGGTCTGTGGCTCCCGGTTGAAGTCCTTGCCCTTCGCGATATCCGACATCCTGGCTCACAAGTGGAAAGGGGCATCAGGAGCTCCCTGGGCCCTTCGGGGACCCACAGATTTCTGGGTAGGGGCCGAAAGAGCAGGGTGGTTCAACCTGACCTGGGCCTTGGCTGGCCGCAGGCGGCCCCCACCTCCCACGTGGATGCTGACCGTGGTGGCATAGCTCAGTCGCCTGGCTGGGGGTGGTGGGGGCTGGGGCTGGGGTGGCGGTGAAGGTGCCCGGGATGTGGGGGCAGAGGAGGACCAGGGGCCCCTGGAGGCTGGGGGAACATCTCCCCCAGGCCCCTGCCGCCGGGCCAGGCTCTGGCTGATGTATGAGGCTGCTAGGTATCTTGAGAGGGCAGCTGCGTTGGGGCCCAGGAGCTTACGGGTTGTGGGTGGGGGACTCTGGGGTGGGGTCAAGTCCTCAGACTCTGACCTGGCAACATGAGATACCGAGTGGCCTCCTGGCTTGGACAAAACCCCGGTGGTCTGAACCGGGGTGGGTGACAGGCCCGAAATGTTTTGTGAGCCCCCTTGCTCAGGCAGAGGTGTGGCAGCTGGAACGTGGATGTTTGTAAGGCTTCTCTGTTCCAATAGAGGTGTGAGGTTTTGGATCTGGAGGTCTGTGAGGCTTTGCTCCTGAAGCAAAGGTACAGCAGTTGGGCTCTGAATCTCTGGGAGGCCTCCCTGCTTCAGCAAAGGTGTGAGGGCGTGTGGCTGGGGCAGAGGTGTGGCAGCTGGAACCTGAATGTCTGGGAGGTCTTGGGGCAAAGACCATGGAGTGCTGGCTGGGATCTGGCAGTCCAGGTGGCCTCCATCTGCAGGCACAGGTGTGGTGCCCGACACCTGAATGTCTGGGAGGTCTTGGGGCAAAGACCATGGAGCACTGGCTGGGATCTGGCAGGCCAGGTGGCCTCCATCTGCAGGCACAGGTGTGGTGCCCGACTCCTGAATGTCTGGGAGGTCTTGGGGCAAAGACCATGGAGCACTGGCTGGGATCTGGCAGGCCAGGTGGCCTCCATCTGCAGGCACAGGTGTGGTGCCCAACTCCTGAATGTCTGGGAGGTCTTGGGGCAAAGACCATGGAGCACTGGCTGGGATCTGGTGGTCCAGGCGGCCTCCATCTGCAGGCACAGGTATGGTGCTCAGAACTGGAATGTCTGCGAGGTGATGTGGCAAAGGCAGTGGAGTATTGGCTGGGAACTGATGGTTCTGACCGCTCCCATACCTAAGCAAAGGATTGATGGTTTGGACCTGAACATCCCTGGAACCTCGCTGCTTAGTTAATGGGGTGCTGGGGGAACTCTGGCTGTCTAGGTGGGCTTCTTGCTTGGGCACGGTGGGTGGAACCATGACATCACAGCAACTCCCCTGCTTGGGCAAAGCTGAGGGGGCTGGCACTTGGAAGTCTACATGGTGTTCTTGCTCAGGAGGAAAGATGGCAGATGGACCCTGTCTATCCAGGTGGTCTCTCGGCTCAGGCAGAGGAGTGGTGGCTGGACCTTGTACTTCCAGGTGGCCTTCTTGATCAGGCAAAGTTGTAACAACTGGAACCTGGATGTTTGGGGGGCCTTCCTGCTTGGGCAGCGGTGTGGTGGCTGGAACCTGGACATCCTGGAGGCCTTCTTGCTCAGGCAAAGGGGTAGTAACCGGGCTGCCCAGATGATCTTGCTCAGGCAAATTTGAAACACTTAGACCCTGGCCATCCAGGCAGCCTTCCTGTTTAGACAAAGATGTGGCAGCTTGAAGCAGGGCAGCGGGGCCCAGGGGGACAGATTCCTGGGCACAGATGAGCGGGAGGGGCAGCTCGCATACCCGTACGTGTCCAAAGGCAGGCAGGGGCCCTGTAGGCAAACAGAGGACGGTGTCAGGGCCAATGCCACAGCTTGGGCCACCTTTGCCAACCGCACGCCTGGACCTCACCTGGCTCGGCCTGCTCCTGGAGCAGGCAGGGAGACGCCTGGGGCTGGGCCAGAACCCGTGGCCGGCGGCGGGGGGCGTTGGTGGACGCCCGTGTCTCAGCCCGCTGCATCTGCTGGATCCGCTCGCTGTACAGCCGGGCCAGCTCGCGCACTCGGGAAGCGGCCCTCTCTGCACTTGGGGCTCCTGCCTTCCCCCTCCTGCTGCCTCCAGGCAGGTCCGAGTCCTCCAGAATGAGCAGTGGCTCTGGGAAACCTGGCTGCGCCAGCTGCCCCTGCTCCAAGGCCTGCCAGGCGCTCCGGATTTCTGAGCAAGTGCGGAGCTCCAGCTCACCCGGGAATCCCTGATCTCCAGTGACATCCTTGGGCGTGAACTCTGAGAAGGATACCCCTTCTTCATCCTCCTCAGGCCCCGCCCGGCTTCCTGAGGAGGGGTGTCTCAGTTTCCCGGGATTGCTTCCAGGGAACAGTTCTCGCCTGGTGGCCAGGGGCTCATCGGGCTCCTGGAGCGGACCCTGGAGCCAGGAGCCACAGGGAAGGGTGGGAGTGCTGGGAACACTCGGGATGTCAGGGACGCTAGGTATGGCTGGAAGGCAGCGCATTTCAAAGACACTGGAAATGTCCGAGAGACTGGGAAGGTGGGGAATTTCAGGAATTTCAGGAAGGCTGGGAATGTCAGGAATTGGGGGAAGGCTGGGAATGTCGGGAATGTCAGCTGCGCTGGAACTTTCCAGCCCCTCCAAGACATGGAGTGGGGAAGGCTCCCGTTCATCCGCCTCCAACTCCTCCTCCTCCTCTGAAGAGTCCCGGCTGGGCAAGGCTTGGAATTCGAGGGTGTCGCTGTCGGCTGGCACCTGGGAGTCTCCAGGGAACTTGGGGATGTCGTGGGGGGATGTCTGTAGTGGGCACTGGGAAGGGGCCCAGGTATCAGCGTGGGTGGGCCACCAGGTCCGTGCCGCACCCCAGCATGCAGTGATGGGAACTCCAGCTCACCCCTGGATCCCGGAGGCCTCTCTGGTTTAGCAGCTCCAGGATTTCTTCAGTGATGGAGGTCCCAGAAGGGTCCAGGGGGGGTGGTCTGGCATC